CTCTTCCTCTAAATGTCCGTATAAGAAGGCCGTTTTTACATCGAACTGCATCATATGCATACTTTTAAGCGCGGCCGTGCACAATAAAATTCTAACGGTATCGAAACGCGCCACCGGGCTAAATGTTTCTTCATAATCAACCCCGAATCTTTGTGAACACCCCTTTATAACCAAACGCGCTTTATATCGTTCGAGATCACCTTCCGAATTTGTCTTTACGCGAAACACCCAACGGTTATTTAGAATTTTCTTACCTTGAGGTGGTTCAACGAGTTTCCACGTCTCGTTTTCCTTTAGCGAAGCTATTTCTTCATTCATGGCATTGCGCCACTCTTCGGATTTTTCAGAAGCAATCGCTGCCTGCACCGTTGTTGGTATATCACACGCCGCAAAATAAACATAATCTTCCAAGTACTTGGGTGGCCTGATTATTCTTCTTTGCGACTTTTCAGTTTCTTGCGAAACATCGTCCGTGATGCCCTCGTTGTTATCCGAATCCGAATTTTCCTCAGATTCTTCGGAATTTTTCTGTGTCAAGGTCATTGTTATTTGAGTCTTCTCAGACACAATCTTCTCCTTCCCGAAAATGACATCGCGACTTCGGAGAACTTTGTTACTTTCCGGGATCCACACTCGAAAGCCATCTTTCTCGCCACAGTATCCGACGAAAATGCCTTCCGTACTCTTTTTGTCCCATTTTTTTCTTGTTTGTTTTGGTACGTGCACAAAACATTGTGTCCCAAAAATACGCAGATGTTCAAAATTATGTACACTCACAGTTTGACTGCCTTTCCACAATTCCATTGGTGACTTATCCTTCACTTGCGTCGGTCCGGTCCTGTTCAGTACATACACCGCTGTGTTGACGGCTTCCGCCCACAATTTAATCGGAAAATTTCCTGCATGGATCATCGTTCTCGCACTTTCTACCAAGGTCCTATTTTCACGTTCTGCTGACCCATTCTGTTCGGGTGTGTACGGCATTGTTATTCTGAGTGTGATACCTTTCGACTCTAAACATTTTCGCACTTCAAAATTGTCAAATTCCTTGCCACCATCACATAGAAATTGTTCAATTTTAACACCAATCGCGGTCGCCTCGTTTACGAATATTTTTAAACACTCGGGTACCTCACTTTTTGCTTTCATAAAGAACACTCGACGAAATTTCGAAAAATCGTCTTTGAAGCAAACAAAATATCTGGCCCCTCCTAACGATTCCTCCTCGGATTCCTCCTGCATCGGTCCACAAACGTCCGCGTGTATTATTTTTCCTGGAACCGTAGGTCTGTTTTTTCGAGAATGGAAACTGGCGCGACTGTGTTTACCAAACACGCATCCTGCACAAAACTCTTCATGTGCCTCCACCTCGATGCCCTTTTCTTTAAGAAAATGTGTTACATGCGACTTACTTTGATGTGCGAAACGCTCATGCCATAATTGCAACGTTTCCTTTGTTGATGCAACATGCACTTCTGCTGCCGCTTCCGGTTTTCGAACTCGAATATTTAGGGCATACAACCCGTTCGACAATTTCTTGCCTGATAATCGAACACTACCGTCCTTCTTAAAGTAACATCCCCCGTAGTTAGCTTCAAAATGATATCCATTACTTATAGTTTGTCCTATTGAAAGTAAATTTCGTTCGATATCCGGAACTAACCACACGTTATTTAAATGATTCCTGCGCCACTCGCCATTAACAAACATTTCAACGTTTATTTGACCCTGACCATACGCGAAAATTTTCTCGCTGTTCCCGACTTGCACCGTTTTTGGAAGTGAGAACGGTTCAAAGTTTATAAAATAACTTTTATGCCTGGTCATGTGCGCACTAGCTCCTGAATCCGCTAACCACAATTCTGCATTCGCGTCCTTGTTAGATTTTTCCGCACCTACGAAAGCATCACCGTCGGCTCTTGAATCAAACCCGGATGACCTCCTGCCGCGTGATTCGGACGAATTTCCCGCGGAATTTCCGCTCCCTTTCTTGGGGCATTTTTTTGCAAAATGTCCTGCTTGATGACACCGATAACATTTCGGTTCCGACTTGGGATAGTTATTCGCCTGCTTTTTATCACCACCCTTGGCCACGAAAGCGCCCACGTTTTTAGATTTCGCCGGTAAACGCATTTCAATTAAGCGAAGTCTTTCGGTTAATTTATTTAAGGTGCGATCTTCCACTGGGACAGATTCCCACACGCTCTTGAATTCAAAATATTCAGAAGGTAGCGTCGACATGATCCTACTCATTAGCACTAGGTCCGGGAGTTCTGTTTTCACCAACCGCCTGAGTTCATCATTCATTTCTTGGAAATCTCTCTGCAGCTTTGCGATATGTGTAGCAATGTCTTCCTCTGGAGTCCTATCGTTGCTGAAAAACTGCTCCATCAGCCGATCTACGCGTTGCCCTGAACTTTGCTCATACACAGACAACAGCTTTTCCCACGTTTGATTAGCAGTTTCACAAGTAGCAACCAAATTTAAATTTGTCTTGTTCATGCTACTTACTAGAATCAGCTGTGCTAAAGCATCATCTTTGTTGAACGTTTTCAAATCCGCTTGATACTTTGAAATAACCGCTTGATCCGCATTCGCTGAAGGTCCCGCTGGTGATGCTCGCGTCCCGATGGCCAGATCCAAAACATCCTGATGTTTTAACAAAAGTTCAACCTGTTTTCGCCATTGACTCCAATTCGAAGCACCCTCCAACTTTTCTATGTGAGCCTTGAAGTTAAAGTCCGACATTTTGTGACGATACCGCGCGCGAAACAAACTACCAGATACTTAGCACTGTTTACAACTAAACCTTACAAAGTTACGACTTCTTATTTACTTTTCGCACCTTTTAGCGCATCTGGGCACATAACCTGTTAAGATTAATTCAAGTAAAAAGAAAAAAGGATTTATTTGCAAATTGCATAAGTACAACTTATATCGTTCTAATCAAAACGTGAACTACTATTAAAAAGAAAGCATGCGCAAAACGCAATTGAACGTTTAAACTTTGTCCAGGTCCGTACTCAGTACACGATTTTGTCTCTTCAACACGAACGTGTCAAATTTTTAATGCACTACCGCCAAATATTAAGGCCATTAAAACCTACCAAAAATTTAGATTTGCATTAAAACAATTTCTAGTAGAAAAAGCGTACTATCACCTAAATGAATACTTAAACATTTGAAACCTTTTAAAATATTTATTGCATGTTCGTCACAATTTTAGAATGTATCTTTTAATGTGTTTTTAGCGCATTTTTGAAAAAAATACGCTATTATATTCGTCATTGCTGGCAGGCCGGCTGTCCGCGTTAGATCTCCACAACTACAATAGCTAGAGACTTCAAATTTTCACTAAAAGCTTTCTGCTATAGTGTAGATGTGCAGGCACTAGTCTATTTTGAGTTAGATTACTTGTGAGATCCATAATTGAAGAAAATAATTTCGATATGGGTTTCGGAGGTGCTATAATTTTACCGTTAGATAGCGCTACCAGTATAAAAACTTATTATTTACTTTGTGATTTGTTTTACAAAATGAAGACGTACCGTCAATTGAAATTAAATAAAATTAATTATTTAACGCAGCTCGTGAGATCGATAATTTTAAACTTCGCTAATAAAATACTCACCTGCATTACCAAAAATGCGCTTTAATCATGCATATGCTGATTTACAACTTGTTTAAATGTGTCGGTTTGTTTTAATATGTTATACATTTTGTAATTTTAGTATTTGTGCTAAGTTTATTGTTTGTATGTATTAGGGACATGGTGTTGCCACCTACTATAAGGTAAAGCAACAACGAATAAATAAATGAAATGAAATGAAATATGTTCGTCTCAATTTTTGTCAGATGAAGCATCTTCAAGACCGTCGATGGTCATGGTCGTTGCGTACGAAAAAAAAATTTTAAATTTACAAGATTTTTTTATCGTTTCCTACTTTTACCTATTTTCAAAAGCGCCCGGGATATTATGACGCTGCCGCCCCTACTAAAGTGGCGCCCGGGGCGGTCCGTTCCTCCGCCCCACCCTACGCTACGCCACTGCCTATGGGCCTGTAGAAGTGTAGAAGGGCTTTTCCTCGACTCTGGTGATAAGGTCAATAATGCCGTAGGGTGCACTTATATGGAAGCCTGTCATGCGCAGGAAGCAACTAAACTAAGTAAACTACAGAGACGTGCCTGTCCTGGGGTAATGGAACCATGAAAACTACGCTAGCTTTAGCCATGGAGGCACTTCTGGGAATAGACCCTTTCCAGCTGTGAAATCGAAGGCTCAGAAGGTTTTCATACAGCTAAGATTAAGGTCAGTCAATTAAAGGCTCCAATGGCACTGGACTCGGACAACCCAAGGCTTTGTTATCGAAGCCTCTGAGCACATCTGAGTTCTTTAGGCTTATGAATCATCGGAGTCCTATCACGGGGCACTTCTTTGGGCTACACCGAGCATATGCGGTCCCTGTGATGTATTGATCAAAGACAGACATCATCAGCTCCTTGGCGGCAGATATCCAGAACTGGGCTAAACAGGGTTCTATACTTTTTATTGAAAGGGACGCGCTCTGAACCTACGTTGCGAAGGAAAGAGGCTAAGCACGAAAGACCTAAGTGCTGTCCTAGTCGGACTTTACTTGTGAGCACTAGAGGAGAGCACAAATTATTTAGAGTAGTCATGTGCCCACCTATGCCCACAATTACCTACATATGCTCAAGATATGAAGTAGCAGTGAGATTTTCGGGTTTGCGTTAAAATTTGACTAAAAGTATTTTCCCAACCGCCACTGACTCACGTGAGCATTCGGAAACACCGACGCTTTGTTACAACACTGTTAATTATATTGTAAAGAGCTATGCCTCCAATTTGGAAATGTAAAATCATTGTTTAAAAAACCAGTAAATAAATCACTGGAAAAGCAACGTTATATTACAATTCGTTATTTGGTGAAAAAATCAATAGCTTAAAAATCACTAGCTAGGGTAAAGAACTTGTTGTATTGGCGACACTGGTTCCCTTAAAAAGAGTTGGCAATTTTAGGGGAATGCAAACAGCTGTATTGTGATAATATTTTTGGGTAATGTTACTTTTTATCCATACAATGGATAAAGGTACATGATTAAAGCGAATTTACTTTACCATGACCATATTACCCACGAAACGGGCAGTTAATAATAACGCCAATGATGAAAGTAATGACAACAACGGCGCCAATGTAAGTACACATACATTTGCATTAGAAAACATTCATTCTGTTTTGTGACAGTCAGACGCAATAACAATTAGGTAATTCGTCCCTATTTACACAATTCATTTTGTAATCGGAATATGACAATGGTTTGACCTTTCTTTTTAGAATACAAAAGACAGAAGTTCGCGACACAGAGAAGAGCACAATGTAGTGACAGAAAATCCACCTGGTTCGGCACGTCGACAGTTTACTTAGTAGGTGCTTAATATTTGCGCTGTCGCGTTCATTTATCATTTTGTAGTGGAAACTCTGGCGAAAGGAAAGATTTACAGAAATTATATAAGGAAAACTCAATCAGTAATGTAAGGGAACAACGAGAAAGAGAGCGTCAAAAACAGCGCGAACTAAGAAGGGAGCGTAAACGTGATCGACAAAGTAAAAGAACTGTAAAGAACGATAATAACGAACCTGGCGACTCTTCAGCTGCCGGTGATAATGTCGATGCGGAGCAGTCAAATGTGAGTGCAGAGAAAAAGGATTCAAGTTACGTGGATGAAGATGGAAGTGGTTGTAATAGTGAGGACGAGTATGATTCGCGACGACCGTTAACAATTGGTTCTCCTACCGCAGAAGAGTGGGCACGTGTATGTATTATGATAGTGATTATACGCTTGCAGTAATTTTTTACTGCATCTTTTGTTAACGATTTCTGTCCTTAAACTTTCCAAATTTTTAAAAAATGAAAAAGCGTAAGTCTAGAGCCATTGAGGGTTGTACTTCTTTACAGCCAATGTCTAATCCTCTGTGAAATGTGTAACTGTTTCAGATTCTCTTAAAAGGGTAGGCCTGCAACAACCCAATCGCATAAGTTTGAATAATAGAATATATTTATTTGGTTTTTTATTCAGTAATCCAAATCACATTTCTATGGAACAAGTGAAACAATATGCATTGTCCAAAAGTCCATAAATTTGTGTCTTCTTCTTGAACTCTTTTCTCTTGAACTTTTCTGGTATTTAAAAAAAATTGAATTATAATTTTTGAAAATTTTAAAAAGTTCTATAGTAGAGTAGTTGATAAGAATTATGCATATTGTATTGTCAAAATCGCGTAAGAATATTTTAATGGGGCTTGGCTCTTCAAAAATATTTCCAACACGAATGTGGATCAAAAGGAAAAGAAAATTAGAACAATTTCTTGGTTGTTATACCCAATATTGCTTTTATTTCAATATTCAATGATACCCAGATACCAGATTGGAATTTTATTTTGCATTCACTGACTGTGTAGTTCAGTGGTAGAGCATTTGCCCAGAAAATAAATAAATTCCCCTGTAGGGTGCAAAATCAGAAAGGGGATATCGAAAAACCTAGGCAAATTTTTAAATGACAAAAGCAGCTCTGGAAACACTCCGAATTCACAGAATTTAGACATTCCCTACATTTAGAAAGAACATAAGTTCCAAAAAATCTATCTAAGGTTTTGTGTGATGTGATTGTGACATGTTAAAATCATCCTGTTTCAGAGAGATGCGTACTTTTCGAGATGTCTACTTAAGTTAGGATTTGAAATTAAAAAAATGCACGAGGACGGCGCCTGTTTATTTCGAGCCATCGCTGATCAAGTGTACGGTGATCAAGAGCTACACTCTACAGTTCGTTCTCAATGTATGGACTACATTGTAAGTACGATTCTGTTAGAGATCGGTGGGCTTATGTCACGCTAATGTAGGTGCAGAATCAAGATTTTTTTGCACCGTATGTAACTGAGGATTTCGACAAATATGTTGAACGAAAACGGAGGTGGTATGTACATGGAAATCACTTAGAAATTCAGGCCTTATCCGAAATGTACAACCGGACTATCGAAGTTTATTGCTATCACACGGGTAAAGGTTACATTTAATTGTACAGTACAAACTGACGTTTTTTCCTTTCAGAACCGATCAATATATTTAACGCCTCTAGCATGAACTCTTATGAACCTATTCGTGTATCTTATCACAGAATGTGCCACTACAATTCGATAACTAATCCAAAAAAGCCATCCGTGCTCGTCGGATTAGGTTTGCCAAATTACTGCACACGATGTGATTTAGATAGGCGAGATGTTCACGATGCTGTACGTCAAAGTGAGGATATGTTAATTGAGCAGGTAACTGCGCATTAGGTGCCTTACACTTGAAAATGGTGTACATTTGATTAAATTATGGGAAATGTTCAGAATTGCTTGTGGTTTTTCCATAGGCAGACTCTCTAAAGAACTTAAAAATAAAAGATTATTTCACAAGTTCGATCTGGGAGGTGCACACTTTGTGCTTGATGGGCAAATTATTTTTTTTCAATTGAAGTACTACCTATAGGAATATGGAGTCAGCCAGCTCACTTTAAAGGGTCTAATTTAAAAATTATTTTGAACGAAGTGTGAAGTACATATCAATTGACAATTTTTTGTTATAGTGCTTAACCCTGTGTTAGTGTGGGTATCTTTTAGTAGCTGTAGATTTGATATTAACCTTTGTTGTACCAGTGTTGGTTTCTGTAATTTTATAATATGTGCAAAACAACTGAATGAGAAATATGCTGTGGATATCACATACCCATATAATGGGGTTATTTATTTGTTGTTTTGGTGATACATCTCTGTATTTCTTGGTGTTTAGTGCAAAAGTTGTTATTACCAATAATGTGTATCTGCAGAGAGAGAACTTTGCTTACAAAAGCTATATAATGATGTGTTTACCAATAAAGATGGAGATGAGACCTCAATAGTCCATTCCGAAGAAGAAAGTTTTTCTGACTTTGTAGGAGAGTGCCCTGATGACACGCTGATACAAAATTTTGAAAAATATGATATAATATTATATAGTATCTATACAATTATATAAAAAAATATAGGTTGTGATACATCACTGCAATCAGGAAAAAGAATGCAAAAATTGATGTTGAGATATACAGGGAGTTGCATTTAAAAAATAACAACTTTAAGTAAAATCTCAAAAACAGTGATCCAAAAATTTTCTTTTGATACGCCTCTGAGTTCTCGTAAAAATATCTAAAATAGGCAGTTTTTACCTTTTTTCTATCCTGCATGGGTAGTAAGATATGATAACATTCCAAGAAGTCAAAGTTTGTTTTCACACTGTATTTTACAAACGCAGCTAGATTGATTCGGTAGACACACTGTACAAACTGCTGGAGTTATTCCATTTCATCAAAATTTGCATTGATTACATAAGTGGTAATGTCATTTTAGTTTATAATCCTATAGTGGTAGGTGTGAATGAGAATCTTGTTACTACTAGACCGCGCATAGCTCAAGTTGTATGTTGCCAACATGGTAGGCCACCCACCGAACTCGTAAAGGCAAGAACTTTCGCGCTCCAATGTTCACTATTTGTTTTTGCTGGGATTATATCGCTGCCCTGGGCTAGTTTTTCAATAATCATAATCTTTATTGATCCAATATATCCATTTTTGAATGTAGGACAAGTCAGACATCACGTTACAATAAAACTGCTAAAAACTGCATCGTAAGCTTAGGGCACATATACATTAAATAAATAGATAAAAGATAAAGATAAAATCACATAAAAACATTGGAACATATATAGTTTTAAAATTACAAACATACTACTACATAAAATATATAAAAATTAATAACAAGCTATTCGAAATAGAATTTTTTTGTTTATTGATCAATTAAATATTCTTGTGTAGTGTAAAATGCTTTTGATGTAAGAAGTTTTTTGACTGTAGTTTTAAATTGTTTCAGTGGTAGCTGTTTAGTTGCATTGTCCAGTTTGTTATAAAACTTTATTCCACAATAGAGTGTCGTGCTTTCATATAACTACTTTTTTTATGACGAGGTACAGGTAACTGGTTTCTCCTTGTATTATACCCGTTAATCTCTTTTGGATTAACAGTGTTGTTTAAGATATATTTTTTGACTAGACATAAAATTTTATATATGAAAATACAAGGAACAGTTAAAATTTTATGCTTAATGAAAATAGGCTTACACGTAGCTCTAAATGAAAGGTTGAATATTAAGCGAATTATTCTTTTTTGTCTTATTAATAATTGTTTTAAGTTTTGAGTTCTGCCCCATATGGCAATATTGTATGTTAAATTTGAGTACACTAAACCATAATACGTGTTTAGTAGCCCTTTAACAGACAAAAGATTTTTTAATTGATATAGTGCAAAGTATGATTTAGCTAATTTCTTTCGAACCATATCAGTGTGTGCAGCCCATTTTAACTCATTATCAATCTCAGTCCCTAAGAACCTTACCGTTTGGCTAAGTACTATTTTTATATTGCTTATGCTTAGAGATGCGTCATCAAATACCTTCTTTTTAGAAAGACTAATAACTTCAGTTTTGTCCACATTCAAGATTAGATTGTTTTTATTACACCACCACATCATATCTTCAAAAACTGACTCAAGTTTGGACCTAAGATCTTCATCACATTTAGAAGCCAGAACAATAGAAATATCATCACAGTACATTATAACATGTCCATTCTTAATGTATTTTGGAAGGTCATTCACGTAGAGCAAGAAAAGCAGTGGTCCAAACACACAACCCTATGGTACACCCATTTCCAAGTTAAAGTATCTGGATGTAGCACTATTGTAAGTTACAGCAATTTTTTGGTCCCTAATGTACGACTCAAACCACTTCAGCGCGACGCCTCGTATCCCAAAGTTTTCAAGCTTTTGAAGAAGGAACGTGTGATTAACTGTGTCAAAGGCCTTACTGAAGTCAAAAAGTATTCCTACAACATAGTTTCCATCATCATTTTGTTTAAAGATTTCTTGTGTAAATTCATAACACGCCGTTTCCACACTTCTCCCTGCTCGATAACCATGTTGGCATGAAGTTAACATATTGTATTTTTCCAAGTATTGCATTAAATTCCGATACACGATTCTCTCAAATACTTTAGACGTAGCATTAAGGATAGATATTGGCCTATAATTGTTCTTATCTGAGGGATCTTTACCTTTTGGTATTGGGACAATATTCGCACATTTGAAGTCTGAGGGAAAAAGGCCGGTCTTTATGGACCAATTAAATATTTTAACTAACTCATCTGTAACTACAGTAGAAAGCAATTTAACAACATTTACAGGAATGCCATCAGGACCTGGAGAGCAATTTTTTAAATTCCTTATTTCTGCCATGACGTCCTCTTTGACAATGGGGAACAAGATAAAAGATGAGGAAACGCGTTGAGCACCGACAGTACAGCAGGATGAAGTTTTACAATTAAAGCGACGTCTTACTGCTTTAACGGGAGCAGTAGCAAAGTGGTCATCAAAGCAGGTAGCTATTTGCAGATCATCCGTAATAAGACTGTTTTCTATATTAAGGGTAATAATTTTATTCTTATTCTTAGAAGCGTCGTGATTAGTTACGGAGTTAACAATACTCCAAGTCTCTTTGTTCACGTTTTTGGCCCGCATTATCCGGTTTTCAAAGTGTGTTTGTTTTACTTTACGGCGAAATTCTTTTTTTTTTAAATTATACTCTCTTCTCAGCTCAAGCGACGTCATACTTTTTATTAATGAAAATTGTTTACGAAGCGCTTCTGATTCATTTCTAATTTCACTTGTAACCCAACCTTTATTTGACCTGGGTCTAAGTATTTTCCTCGGAAACCATATCTCTATGTAGTATCTTAAAGCTACAGTAAATTGATGAACAGATGTATCAATATTCGTAGGATTTATACTTGGTAGAAATTTTAAGTCAGATCTTAAACTGGCAAGTGAGGTTTGAGTAATAGCCCTATAAGTTCTTCTGTTAGTTAAGTTCGTTTGTTTATAATTTGTAGTTTTGATTTCTAAAATTTGCGCCGTATGATCTGCAATATTGCATTCATGGTTATCACATCTGCGCAGCCGTTGTTCAAGACTTTGGTCAACTATAACATAATCTAAACATGTGTTTGATGAATGTCCATTGATATTGGTAAAAGATCTGGTGGGTTCGTGTATTAACGTTTTAAGATGAAAACAGTCAAATATATCCTCAAGGGCTAGTTTACTAGGTGAGTTCTGCAAATAGTCGATATTTAAGTCTCCCATTATTAGAATATTTTTTTTATATTTCTTTATCATGTCGTCAAATATGGTAATAAATGTAGAGATATCCGCCGAAGGTGGTCTATATGCACAAAAAATGCGAGTTTCAACACCTTCTAAGATTAAGCTAGCACTGCACACTTCAAAAGCGCACTCCGTTGCCCATTTTTTTACACACACATTTTTCAAACATTGTTTTTTATTTTTTAAAATTGCTTTACTGAATCGAAAGCGCACACTTTCTAGACACATAATGTCCTCAGGAAAGTTTATAAACGGTAATAATGAAATAAATGTAATTAGGACAACCAATGCGCAAAGTAGGTACTTATCTAGTGTAAATTATCGTGTAAGGTATTTCTTTGCAGGATAGTTACATCTAGGTAGGTATAGTTATGTGGAATGAATGGAAAAACAGAAAAGCACAAGAATATTTTGAGAAACAATCTTTGCGAAAGTGTAACAGAGAAATGAATTTGTTTATTCGGCGTTTTTGTTAAACGTCGCGCGTCAGTCGCTGTGGCAGGACGCAGGAGCATTCCAGAAACCTATTAGCAAAGAATATAAATTCAGTGCAATTGTAATTTTGCCGGACTATTTTAGTGGTGAACTGTGTATAAGATAATTTATTGAATTTGCAATGGTTACGTCTTGTGCAGTCTTGAATTGTACCGCAAGGGCTCAAAAGGGGCCAAATATCTCATTCCACAGGTAAAATTTCATAACTGTTTTATCACAGTAATTTTTATGCAATGTTTCTAGTTATATCCACTGGTAGGATCTTGTTCCACTGATTCGCGCTTTGCCTTTACGTGTATGATGTGTTGCCTAAACATGTTGGAAACGGGGATTGCATCTGCGGTCTAAGTACAACAAGTCTCTGGTGTGAATGAGTATATAAAAAGTAGTTGGGAATTGCTTGCAAACATTTGGTCATCCATTGCACGAAGTTAAAAAGAAATGTGATAAAAATAGTAAGATGCACACGTGGTAGAGGTGTAGTATGGGCTCTGTTACACCTTATAGCCTAGAAAACTATAGCTTAGTGTTAGTTTATTGTAGTACATCTCATAATGCGGCGGTACAGTTACAGCAGCGTAAGTTAGCTAATGGAAATGTTAAGGGTCTGTATTATCTGCAAAAAAAATTGTCCAGAGCTACAAGCTTACTACCAAAGGGAAGCCTGGAACATAATTTACCTATATGTTTTCGTACTGGGGGTTTTACTATACATATACAAAAATCAACATAAGTTTATGCGCAATGGGGACACAATTACAACACAAGAAGGCAACAAGATTTCTCTGTCCCGGTATCTAAACTCAAAGTATCCCTACATTCGCCTAATAGCATTGTCATTAAGCTGTTCAATACCCTCCCAGCACCATGAAAAATATAAAGACTGTACTTATTAATTTTGACTATTACTAGTCTTGTGTGAATTTGTCTGTTTGTACTCTTTTTATTGTACTGGTACCAGCACGTAAAAAGGCATCCCCACTATTCATATTCTATTAATGGCACCTACTAGTGCGTCACGGAGCCAGTTGGCTCCTCCTGCAGACTCCCTCAGACGTTTGCGCTAAGCCCGCTATCACTTTCTTATGTGCCAGTACCAGTATAACCATTTAATGGGCACAACTCGACTAAATGCATTACATTACTCCCTCCCTTATTGTGAAACCATCTGCAGTTAGCTATTTTCCTTTCACTATGACTGCCTTTACCACAAAGCGTACAGGCAGTAGTGTTTGTCTCTTTCTCAGAAACAACAAAAAGGATGTACACATTTTCATGTCGTGAGAAACCCCCTTGATTAACCGCAAAATAATTAATGGACGAATTAATTACAGACCATGCTGGAGGACAAAATTATGGCAACTGATTGGGAAGCGACTAACGAAGCTTTGGAAGAGCAAGTGGCGCGCGAATCTTACATACAGTTTTATCGTGACGTCGAAAGGCGTTTGAAAGCTGAAAGCCATCCCACAGCCAGTTCGGCGGCGGGAAGCAGCTCAACTGTTACTTCAGCAGTTTGTTCTAGTCCCAGATCATCGCGTCGTGGCTCAGTCTCTCCAAAAGGTTCCGTGTCACCTAAAGGGAATTTATCTCCAAAAAACTATTGTGGTAATGTAGATACGATTTCGAGTCACACTTTATTTTGAAAAATCTTACAGCGTCGCCACGATACTCTATGGAGACAAATTCGACCTTTGAAAAATCGGAATATAATCAAATACTTTTAAGTGATAGTACTAATCCAGCAACTACATACCAATCGTATGGAATTGATTCGAAAAAACATAGTGAAAATTCAGATGGATCTGACTTAAGCAGTTCGCAAGGTGCTTCTAATTCAAACGAAAATAGTTACGAACAAGAAGGTATGGACCTTAACAGATCTCACTAATCACTACTGATGAAAATACAATTAAAACTACTAACATTAAATTTAGTAATGGACTTGACATAATCTTTTTCAGTTTATACAGATTGGGATGAAACAGTAATGGCGCAAGTGTTGGCCGAATCGCAATTAACCTACTTGAAAGATCTGAAAAGATGGGTTAAAAAGCGTAATGGTTCCCCGGGACCATCTACATCACATTAGTTTAGATTTAATTTAGTAAGACTTGTGGTATATTGAGTGTACCACAAACCGACCCAATGTAGTAATTCTTCGGATATTTTTTCACCATGTTGTACTTATTACTACAAAATATTCTGCTCTTTCTATTGCCTGATGTAAATATAACCACTAAAACTATGTGTTGAAGTGATGTTATATCGATTTATACAATTTATTTGTATCTATATAATTTTTAGCTTTAATACATTTTGTATAACGTTAATTTTTACAGATAGAATGGTCGTTTTCAATTCGAATTGTATCATATAAGAATTTTGCATGCCATTGTTTATTTTGCAAATACCAGTTTTGTTACAGATTATTATGACCCGAAAATAATTTGATTTGTGGCTATGTTATTTATTGATTTTATAACGGTAAAATAAAATAAAATTTCGGATTTTTCCTGCTAGCTCTCTCGTAACATAAGCTTAGTTCACTTATCCTGAATCAAAAATTATATTAAGCAATAACCGAATGCAAAACGAACACACTAAATGTCTTGAAAACTGTAGGTGCAGTAAAGGCCTCGGACGGACAGAGACTGCAACATCGTTGGAAAATGTGCTAAAAGTAGACTATCCCTTGCTAGTTGTAATGGATTACGTTCTCTATTTTTCTGATTCGAAACGTCTAATAAAAATTTTAATATCAAATATTGCATCCATTATAGGGATATAAAAAAGGAAACTGCGCACCATGTAGGAAACTGTAAAAAGACGAAGAGTAACGTTTTTGCAGTTTTCTGAAATATCGATATAAAGAAGGAAACTGCTAGTAAAATGTAGGTCGAAATGAGCACCTGAAAGTTATGGCAGTCTACTAATGCAAAATAATGAATGAATAAGGCATTTATGGAGTCTACTAATGCGTAATTTAATCTAAACATTGCAGGGTGCGCCAAATTAAATCATTAAATGTAGAAAAACCCATTCTCATTTGACACTATGCGGCACCACTGTTCTCCTTTTTACAGTTTTATGAATTATCGATTTAATAAAGGAAACTGCTAGTAAAATTTATGGCAGTCTACTAACGCAAAATTGGATGTTAGAATGGATTTCATGAATTTTGTTACAAATAAGGCATTTATGGAGTGTACTAATGCGTAATTTGATCTAAAAAAAGGCGGGGAGGCGAAACCCGTTCTCGGTATCACAATTTGATTGACACTATGCGGCAGCACTTTTCTCCTTTTTACAGTTTTCTGAAATATCGATATAAAGAAGGAAACTGTTGGTAAAATTTCTCAGATTTTGCATGTAGCTTTCTTCAAGAAATCTACATTTATGTGTTACAAATAAGGCATTTATGGAGTCTACTAATGCGTAATTTGTACTAAAAATTGCAGGATGCGCCAAATTAAATCATTCAATGTGGAAAACTGTAAAAACACGAAGAGTAACACGTGCTGCCAAACTTGCAGATGTGTTGCACATCGACTCCCTCGGTACTGCGCAAACGCAAGTGAGCTTAAATTTGAATTTTCGAGAACTTCTCATTTTGTGTTGTCGCGGCGGTAGTTTTATGCAATAATGCGAAACACAAAAGAGTGTTGGGTGAGAGAAAGGATTTCAAGAAAAGAAAAGTATGGTAGAGCTGAGAATCGGAGAATCAATCCTAACAATTTAAAAATTTTATTCGTATGTCAGCGGGAGACCTTGAGGAACACTGTTATTACAAAATTAAAAAGAAGGATACTCATTTACGTACCACAATATAATAAAACTCGCACGTTTACTTGCCAAAATAGCAAAACGAAATTGAAAATTTCCAAGAACGTGGTGAGCTGCACTCTTGCCTGGCAATAAGTGTCGTAAGAATTCTTCCGCGAGTTCTGTCAAATGGACTCGCAATGCTATTTACACAGTAGTGTCTGACAGTAATGCGAGTGTTCGATGCGTGCACAGTATACCCTTTGCTAATTTTACGTATGTGTATTACCATTGAATTTATAACTATCATCTATAAATTCAATGGTATTACCTTACACTAGACGACTAGACAGTTCTACGCAAATTCAAATTCTACCGCGCATGCGCAGTACCGAGGGAGTCAATTGTACTATTATCAAAGATCATTCTATTATCAAGTTATGAATGGCGCTACCTACTTAAGGCTGGGATTGCCTGAAAAGAGAACTACCCATAGTAAAGGACAAAGTTTTTTTCGTTAGAATGTGCTGGTACCTAATAATGAATAGCGTAACTACAGCAGTTTTCTATACAAATATTTAATTAATTATACTCTCTTTAAGTGGGCCCCAAACAACACAGAGGGTGCTTAAAAAAAATGCAATTTGATTTGCATAACCACACGACAAGAAGATACAAAGTACAAACGCAAGGTCGTTCACGGCTCCTTACAGACTGCTAGGTTAACAAAATTATAATTAGCTCTCTACCGCACATAACTTGAGGAGAATAATGAACCGCTTGTAACGTAACGTATGAAGTAAAAATCGCGTAATTATTGGCATGGGGCACTTTCAAAATTAAGGTCGTAAAATTGGTTCACAAGTGGCGACAGGGGCTTTTTGTTTGGAAGGGCCCTCAGTAAAACTCTTGATTCCTTCACTTAACGGTAAAACGCCGACAATTCTAAGAAAACACCTTTGGAAATTCAATTCTTTTTCATTGTTACCATTGAATAAAGAGGTTTTTATTCAATGTCATTACGAAGTGTGTTGTTATACTTATAACGATCCTAGTGCCTATTCAAATAACAGGTAACAAAGACTAACGAAATGTTATTACAGTAGAGACGCGTTTTGACTTTTAGGACTTGGAAAAAGTTCAACCATATTTTCGTTTTTTTTTGTATTTTTCTCTGAAACGGTAGGGAAATTTCGAATTAGAACAAGCAAAAGCTTTTATGGAGAATGCAATTTTGTCAAAAAGTAAGTATAGCAAAAGTTTTTCTTCTTGTAAAGTCAATCCGGGGACATACGGTATACCGATTTTTTTTTAAATTTTTTAGCTGTTTATACCTAAATATACATTTGTTCCCCATGTCTTACATTCGAGGGATGGTCTTTTGTAAATTAGTCATTGACAGGCTGGTTCGAATTCGAGGGCCACCATGGGTATCTCGGGAACTGTAAGAGATAGGTAGGTGATAAATTTGGCAAAGTAGTGTATTTTGATGCTTAACAAAAACAGTTTTGAAACTGAAATTCTGACTACTCTCGGAGATATCCGGAAAAAACGAGATTTTGAAAATCGTTTTTGTTTTTTACTGAAGTTAATAGTTATTTACAAAGATATTTAATAATAAATGACACATTATTATGGCAACTTTTTTCCCTCTACAAGATGCTACTTTTAAATTTGAAGTTTGACGTTTCGTCTCCGGTTAACTATCGTCAACTTTGTTTCTTACGGAAGTAATTTTTACTTTTTGTGTAATTTGATAGAGAATTTTTTTCTGATTTCAAAAATGTACACATCAATTTTTTTAATGTTTGTAAAATATCTTTTTTGCGTACGTAAGTAGTTTCTTGCGTTTTTACGAATTAACGTTATTTCTTATTAAAAATAGATGATGTTACCATCAAGAGTAACTTTGTCAAATGTAAACTACCTATCTCTTACAGTTCCCGAGATCCCCATGGTGGCCTTTGAATTCGAATCACCCTGTATAGGTCAATTATTACACATTACACTAAACTGACTAAACTAATACTAATATGTAATAGGTACTATCATTGAATAAAGAGCTTTATTCAATGGTACTATTGAAGTTCAAAAAATTTAATTTGCAAGAAGGTATGGATTATAAATTACGGTATTTTAATCTGCAATAAGCAAAGATAAAGAATAAGGAAGACGGTCAAACAAATCGCATTACAAATAAACACCCACACAAGGTCGCAACTTGCCAGACATCAACAATATACAACAGCCCTTTGTTCTAAAAATAACGTAAAATTTTGATATTATTGTTGTAAAGGAATGTTACCTATCCCCATTTCTATTATGTATTTCATAAAACGATAGGTAGAGGAGGTACCTTTTGCAATGAATAGGAAAGAGAAACCAAATAAATTTCGAAGCAAGTAGTTGACAAAATAAAAATATACCAGTGAACAGCTGCGTAGTTTATTTCCATTTCTCCAGTTTACATGCCCATTTTTCAGAACTTCATTCACCACTTTTTTTATGAAAACTTTTGAGCTTCAAATAAATTGCCAAAATATAGATAAGTATTCACGCTACCGATCCCATACACTCGTATTGCTTAAAATGCTCCCTAATTTTTGCAATTAATTCCTAAACTATGAACTCTTTTGACGCATGTTTTCTAAATTTTTTAAACATATATGGACAAAATATCAGTTTATATTGTATGGAAACTATGCTCTGTACATCTATCTATCTAATGCATATTTTTCCGATCATATACACCCCTTGCTTATGGAATGGTGAATGAAGTTCAGAGGCAATGCACGCCCCATTGAATTACATGTGCATCACCAGTTACCTATATTCTCAAAATCCAAACCGGTTATCCATATACTTCTTTTATATATATATATGATTGTAATACACCATACCCTCATTTCGCCCTAAGCAGCCAGGTCTTCAAGTTTGTCATTTTCTGCAAATGCAAACAAGTCAAAACAACCCAAAAAAATTTTCCATAAATTACTGTATTATACAAGTCGTGTAGAAAAAACAATTTAAAAATTGTACAAAATTATGATTGTGTTTAATTCCTCGAATCTCCACCAGTCACGTTGCTACAATCCATTCTTAATTGTGGTAAGAATCGGGTACTTTTTCCCACATTTTCCTCGGAAATCGTCGGTGTCAATAGACCAAATCATAGCTCCTCCTAATTTGTGTTGTTTGACATATTCCACCTACAAATAATATATTTATTAGACTTGTTGTATTAGCCGTTGTGATTACTGACCTTACTACTAACTGATCGTTGATTGTCATAACTAATCCACTGATTTCCTTTGTACGCGTACGGAATTTTTTGTGCATCATACCATACGATATTCCATTGGTTTGTTTTTAATTCCAGGCACACCTAAAATTGAACCGTGCATTAGGTAAAGTAGAACATCTCAAAATTAACCAACTTCGTTGTAACCTAGCATACCAGCTTCTACTGTAAATGGACCAGCTAGTCCTGGTTGGGGAGCTGGTGCACCCATCCCGTGAACTTGTGGGTTTGAAAGCGTAAAAGTTCGCCCATAAACGGGAATACCCATGATCAGTTTGGCCGGCGATGCGCCGTTTGAAATCCACGCTTCGATGCATTTAGACTGAAAACCGTACCCTTAAACTTAAGTCGATTGTTTAATACAAATGTTTTACCACAGAAGACCCAGAGGCGGCAATCAGAGGTGCATTGGCACCAGTGACTTGGTCCCACGATCCATGCAGATCATATGTCATAACGTTGATAAAATCTAGATATCTGTAACAGTCAAATTTAAAAAAAATGAATTTATGATTGTTTGTTTTTACTTGGATAGCGAGGGTACATCGTATGACGATGCAATGAAATTCGCAGTAGCACCAGTTGCAATAGAAAGTAGATACCGATTACCGACAGCCTTTCGGAATTCTTTGACCACAGTTACCAAATTAGCCTATAATCTGAATGTTTATTTTCCTTGAAAACGATTTTCATACCTTATCGCGAGGAGTACCACCTCTTTGCGCTGGATATTCCCAATCGATATCAAAACCATCGAAACCATATGTATTCATCAGATTCATGGCACTCTTGATAAAATTACTTCTTAAGGCAGGGTTTTCAGCCATTTTGGAAAATCTTTCTGATCCTTCGTTCCAACCGCCTACCGCTATGAGCGTTTTCAGCTGACGATTTTTTGATTTCAACTGGTTAAAACGCCGAAAACCTCCTACAATTTGTTCAGATGTATGACCAAATGAAAATTGTTCAATCTTACCATTATCAACGTCATTCCGGCGGTCTAAGATTTTTATCGACCCGGTTTGATCAATCCCAACAAAAGAGTAGATGATGTGGGTACAAAGCCGGGGATCTATGTCATCTACCTTAAACGCCCCATCTCCACGTCTATACACTGCCCAGCTACCATAGTAGCACACAATTTTCCTATCTAAAAAGACCTTTATTTAAAGAAAAACCTTAAAATCTTACCCGAAGCCGCAATTTTAAGGCCTACGGATAAAAAGTAACAGAATGTTAGTATTTTCGAATGCATCATTGAAATGTGGGAACTAGTAGCAAGTTGTTTAAAACTATCTGTCGTTCCGCTGCACAATCTAATAAATAAGTACCAATTTCGTTGTGTTTGTAGTTTATAACATATTAAGCAATTATGTGTGCTACATTTTATTTAATGTGTTAACGCAAATTGCCAAATCCACGGATTAAAACAATTTTCCACAAGGAAACTCATACATCGATCAGATCGTAAAAAAATGTATTCGATCCTACAATCAGTCAAATTTGTTAAATTATTTATTTTACTATATACCAAATAGTTTATATTTTCGAAATTAAAGCTTTTTTCACAATAATCACAAATCGGTGGTAAATTACCTACGTTTCCTATTTTTCCCAAACTGAATTTCCCTCATAAGTAAAACAAAATTTGCAATTAAGATTTTATATGGACTTGCATTGTAAGCTAAAACGTAATTTTGTAATTGATGTCATATTACGATAACCTCAATATTCTAGATACTGGAACATCAAGTTGTACACCTATGCAACTATAAATATGCACTTATTCTGGTCAGAATTGCCATTCAATTTCCATTTTGGTGAACTTGCGCTGCAGTCCGGCAAATTTTTGGTTTCAGATTTCATGTTTTCGTTTAGCTAAAATATCGGATAAAGTAAAAAGTTGTGAAAACTGCTTCGTCTTTATTTTTACGCCGAAGAACACATTCACATAACTTTTCATAGGCTCAATAAAACAAAGGATGGCTTATCATATTATGGGATGAAGTTTTATAACACTTTGCCCACGAACATTAAAAACTTAAATTTACTATCCAGTGTAAAGGAATATTTAAAATGTCGAGTATCTCCCTAAACGAATTTTTTAACAATAGCTTTAACGACTTAGAATGTTACCTTTATTTGGGGGAAATTGCTCTTTTGATTTATGTCCATTACGTGCAAATACTGATAGGCAGGGCCGTATCTAGGCGGTGGCGAAATGGGCGCCCGCCAAAGGCGCAGCTACCGGGGAGTCGCAAAATTGAGCCATGAAAAAATTTCTTTTGTATTAGGAAAAAAATTCAGGTTATTTAAACAAATGTTATTCCAGATTGTTAATACTGTACGTACCTGCAAAAACGGTGCAAAATATTAGAACATCCTCGGCACCTTACTTAGCCACAAAGTGCTTAACGGAATTGCGAAAGCAAGCAAGAAGCGGCAACAATTTGCGATCAACGACCGGTGCAAATTCCACGGAAGAAGCAAGTCAACTTCATGTCAATATTGCACATATCTTACAACAATTTGGTTTCCAACTTCGCAAGTGGAGAACTAACAACGAAGACAACTTATCAAAACCAACGAAGAGGAACCCCACACGTTATAGTTAACGATGCACAAAAAACTCTCGGATTATTGTGGAATTCGCGAGTCGATCATCTTAAATATGCAATGGACATCAATCCAAAATGCAAAGCGACAAAAAGAAGCATCTTATCCACTACATCGCAGTTAATCACTAGGGCTTTTGGGTCCCGTGATTGTCTCAGCAAAGGTAATGATGCAAAAATTATGGCAATTGAAACTGGATCGGAACGAGTCGATTCCGATGGATTTCTCCACGAAATGGATCAACTATTACGATGATCTCAAGTCAGTAGCCGAACTACGCATACATCGCAACGTAATTTCGCACTTAAACTACACTTCAATTGAGTTACATGGATTCTGCGATGCATCGGAAGTTGCGTACGGATGCTGCGTATATGTCCGAACGACAGTTGACAATTGCAATTACGAGACAAGATTATTATGTTCAAAATCGAGAGTGGCACCACTCAAAGCAATATCATTACCACGACTCGAACTATGCAGTGCATTGTTATTAGCAGAATTACAAGATCGTGTCATTGGATCACTAAGAGTTGCATTCACCAAACGATATCTGTGGACTGACTCAACAGTAACACTATCATGGATAAGAAAAACGCCAAAAACGTAGAAAACGTTTGTCGCAAATAGAGTAATCCAAATTCAAGATTTTACCAAAGGAGCAACTTGGCAGCACGTCAGCACCAAGCACAACCCAGCAGACATTTTATCTCCCAAAGATTTACTGAAACCACACATATGGTGGACGGGTCCGCACTTCTTAAGGTCACATGAAACCACTTGGTCTGAACAAATTCCAACGCCGAATTGTGAGCTTGAAATGAAAAATCCAACGACAATTGTATTAACAACCGCCAAATGTTCCAAAATTATTCATCAATTGTAAAACTGAAACGCATTATAGCGTACTGTTTGCGGTTTATTCACAATTGCAAACCGCAACAGCAAGGGTACAAGTCTGGACCTCTTCAGCTAGAAGAAGTTCAAGATGCTACAGTACGAATACTAAGAGCATGTCAGCAGGAAGCATTCTCTGCTGAACTACAATCAGTAGCTAAGTACGGTCAGGTGGGCACCAAAAGCAATTTAAAGACGCTAAACCCATTCCTGCACACTGACCGACTGTTACGGGTCGGTGAACGGCTGACAAATTCGCACTTGCCATTTGAACAGCAACACCCAATAGTATTGCCCAGCAGTCATCAAATTACCACAATGATAATATATTATAAAAACGTTACAAGTGTGTTTTGGTGAATGGTGTTCAGCTTCAATCCGAATTAATCTATACGAAGAATGGAGTTCCTCAAGGCTCTCTCTTAAGACCATTTTTGTTTATTATGTACACAAATGACTTTTTTACTTATATGCACCCGAATCACAGTATTGCTTATGCTGACGATATTTCGTTACTCGTATCGGACAAAGATGTTAAAATAGGAATCGCCAAAAGGCAAAATTTATTACAAGAAGTAGATACCTGGTTCATTAGCAATAACTTAAAACTAAATAAAAATAAAACGCATATCGTAACCTTTTCAACGAACAACAAGGTTACCTCCGGGAAGTGCGCTAAGGTATTAGGAGTGTATGTAGAAGACGAATTAACGTGAATCAATCATATAGATTACGTGGTTTGTAAATTGTCCAAGTCATTGGTTGTAATAAGGGTCAGTTACGTCAGATTGAACTGAATGCAAATAGTTATCTGGAAAACTCCAAAGAATGTTATCAAAGCAGGTAGTTGAGTTAGCGGTTACTCTAGTGTAATCCTTTATCAAAATTTTTAATCTAAATGACATAACAACGAATGTCAGATCCTCTAACCTCTAAAGTGTAAAAGACCTGATTTACTTGAAAAATTAATATTAAAGTCTCCTGCTAATATAATTGAATTAGACTTCTTATAACAATGAACCAACACTTTCTCTAAATTATCCAAAAATATTTTCGGGTCATCACTAGGCGATCTATATAACGTAATAACTACTACTTTAATTTTAGGGATAATAATCCCACAGAATTCGGCATTCAGTTCAGAGTCAATCAACTGAGGGTTGCCGAAAAATGAATCTAGGAAAAAAATCCCCTGGAAAAAAAAACCCGGATATAAAACCCCCGGAATAAAACCCCCGGAATAAAAACCCCTATGAAAAAAAACACCAGGAAAAAAAACCCCGAACAAAATTTAAGCGAAGTTGGTAACAACTGCAGATTAACTCATAAGTTCTCTTAACCCAATTCATAATAATGAGTTGGTACATTGAAATGGGTAATTAATTAATGCAATAATGAAAAAAGTATATTTATTGAAATAGAATAAAAAAACATTATGGTACAGGGTAACATCACTGAACACATGTACATGTATGGTTATTAAAATCTTATGTTATGGCTAACAGCATTTAGAAAATCTACTAAATTCCTTACTCCATCCCGATACTCTTCGCATAACAGTTTCAGCCTAGCCTGCATAACAACATAAGCTGGCTTTTTCTTTTTCGGCATTTGTCTTCCTATTTGTCGCTGCTGCACCTTGGTTTCATCCGTCGATAATTCCTGCCTCATTTTTTGTATGAGCACCCATACGGTGGGATGGTTTTGGCCGACCAAGGTCGAAAATCGATGGTTCCAACCTTCGGTATGGTTGTTAGTCCGCTCATCGTCTTGAAGGGTGGTATTATGTACATTCCAGCAAGGCGGAGGAAAAACCGGCGGGACATTTCGTATCCGCACATTATCATCATTGACATTTCCTACTCGTCTATTTGTCCCTGACACGTACGTGGCATCGAAGTACTCCACGAGGTCTTCGGCACCTTCGGGGATGTTTTGCCTTAAAAACTCCATACCTCTGGCAACATCTTCCAAAGGTAGAAAGGCTAAGCCGTCCAGCATACCACAAAAGTTTGAAAAATCTTCATCTTCTCGATAGCGACGTTGCAACCCAAGTTCTTGTAATTTTCGTTGGGTAGACTGACACAAATGGTAAAAGCACCCGCGAATAGTAATATGATGAATATAATGAAAATATTAATTTATATAGAAACCATCGTCAATGGGATTGAAAAGAATGTAACCCCATTAAGAATGCCTAATTACGATTAAGTGCACTTATCAACAAGATTTGCAAAATGCAATAATAATAGGAGATTTTATTTTACCGCGCTCATTAATTACCCATTTAACTACAAAAACTCATTAGGAATGTCTGGGATTAAGGGAAGAAATGAGCTAATGAACATTGAAAATAATAAAATTTGCAGTTGTATAAGAAATTATTTTGAATTTGAATTTTGCTGGGTTTCTTTTCCTGGGGTTTTTTTTCCCAGGGGTTTTTATTCCGGGGGTCTTTATTCCGGGGGTTTTATTTCCGGGGTTTTTTTTCCAGTGGTTTTTTTTCCTAACCCCCCGAAAAATATATCTTCCCCACGTTTTCGGTTCACTCGACAAAACTTAGATGCCAGTACATACGAGTAGTTCTGTATACAACCGGTTTCTAGGTTTTCGTTATTAACCAGTGTTCAGTTATGCACAATAAGTTAATATTAGATGCCTCCAAGTAGAGAGAAAATGGATCAATTTTATTGGATAACACTGGATATTAATATGAAAAAGATTAAACTTAGTATGGGTGTATCCACTCGTCCATCTTTTCCAAAAGTGCTGGAACATTTGATGAAGCCTCGTGTGTGCGTCAGCTGTTTTCCGGTGTTTTGATTACGCGTTCTCGCGGGATGTAATTCAGTACGTCTCCAATTGGGAAGTGCCCCGGTGTTAATGCAAGCAAGTCATTAGGATCGCTGTAAATGGGGGAGTGGAGGACAGATTCAATTTGCACAAATACTGTTGTCAATTGTTCAAAAGTTAGATGAACATTGTGGCATTACCTATGATCCGTTTCGTAATCGATTTTGCGGATTTAATGCGGACGACTCAGTATAAATGTCCAATCAATGGAATTGAGCTTAAAAAAATCGGAAAATTCATTGTCTGATAGTAATTTGCTTACTTGTTTTAATTCTTGGTTGGCGTCTACAAAGTTTGTGGCATTATCTGAGTATAAAGACCTACAAATGCCTGCTACTGACGAATCTTGACGTGGATAAATCACTCGCTACCTATGTTAACAAAAAGATGTTTATCTCACATACGCCTTTACAATTTTGCGATTATGCGTTTTCCCGTCTTTAATCAAAAATGGGACGGCGTATTAACAGCTGTATGCAAAAATGGCCCTGTTGGGTGGAACATGTTCATGTGGGAAGTCTGCCATAAGTTTTGCAAGGAAAATTTGAAAGGCTGTTAGTTCTGACTTGATCCATGATAACACAATTCTGGAATCGCACCAAAAACAAACCCTATTCAATTTTGCCTTAAATTTGAAAGAATCAATATCAATAACTTTGTACTTTGTGAGCTACTCTCGCTATCTTGATTGTTTTAAGTGGAGCAACTCGAAAGCGTCACAGAAACGCTAGTATAATTTTGAATAGTGACATGTCGCTTCAATTCATGTAATTGCTAAATTTTATGTAACTTGTGACAATTTCGATGCATATCGTGCACGGACTGTTTTAAATTATGGAATATATGTTTTCATTATACTTTTTTGTATTGTATAAGCACCTTAACGTTAACTTGTATTTAAAGAAATATTAAAGTAAGTCTGTATACTGCAACAGAACATAAAGCTTCTCTTAATTCGGTGAACTATACCCTGAAGAATTCGCTATTTTAACTTGATTAAAACGAATGCTCAACATTGGTATTTACTTCACACGACGAAAGCTTTACTTACTACGAATAACAGTGGCTGTTTGTCTTTATAAAAAAATTCATTACCTATAAAAGTTAGTATATAAAACATCAACACGCATGAAACGCATCACACAAATGTTTCAGATAAAGTTGACACGGTAGGACAAGCTGTAGTTGAGCGCATATTTTCTTTGTTTTATCTCGTTTATAGGGAAAACTCGGCCTTTGAAAAGAATAACCAAATTTAAAGGTACAAAGAAAGAATCCACTGCGTATGAATATATTTTCAGTATGGCTAAAAGTGAAAGGAGTCGTGTTTTTACTACGCACACACACGCTGCCGTGCTTAATAGAAAAATACTGGTTTCGTGCAACAGGTCAGCGTAAATGCGAATCTGCTTTGCTATCCTAATTCACAAACAAATCTTTTGCTTTTCAAAAATGACTTTTGGCAAAGAAACACATACCCTCGCGCCGTCGCGGTATCTTGTTTGCAGGTGGCGCTTTCGTGCATCCTGCATCCTGGAGTCATCCCCCACAACAACCCTCGGCCCAGTTTGACTACGGTAGCTATGTTATGCGGTAACGCTTTGCTGAAGTTCTTTCCGCGCTTTACGTGCTTATACATTTATCAAATTAGTTTCGCTTTTAAGTTTTCTTGACTTGTCCATATAATCTTCTGATGTAATTTTCCTTAAGTTAGTTAACATTTTTTGCAAAACGTAAACTTTCAAAACTTTTCTATCGCACTTTGAAATATTAATGCAACTTTGTCGAAGTGCGTGTGCGTTAAGATAATTAGATACATTTATAATGCATTTATTTTTATTAAGTTTTATATTAATAACACCGCCCTTGATGTGCCAACACCTAGACCCACAAATAATTCGGCATAGTCGATCTAGAAACCGACTGTTTAGATCAACCCGACATGGCGAAGAAGTCGAGACGATCGCTCATAATTTAACGGAATTGAAACATTTTAACGTAACGAAAGACCCGTTTTCTCCGAAAAAGACGCGACTCAAAGTAGAGCATGATGTATTTATGCCATTAAATAAGGAGTCGAGTCAATATCTAACCTCTATGCGTTGGAATCTCGCCGAAATCAGTAACTCTACAAAACTAATAAATTTGTCAGCCGCATACAATTTAAAAAGAAAGATCACCGTAGATTCCAGTGCCGGACCAATTTTAACAAGTAGTTGGCAGTCGAAAGAGAAAGGCTTTTCCGATGTTACAGAAGGTACTACGTCATCTAGTTTTTTACATGGTGACGAAATTGACGAGTTACAGTTACAGGACGAATCATTAACGGACACATTAAAAGTTGAACTTTCCTCGGAAAAATCAATTACTGAGAGTGTTCGTAGTGGTAACGTTGACATAGTTACGAGGTTTTTAAGAATAGTGGAATCGCAACATTTATTAGGTGAGAACTGCACGGCGGGGACGGATTTAAATTTAGGGGAAGGTGTTGTTGATCGCTATGCACA